CTCGGGTTCCGCTAAATCTCCTGGACTCCCACGGTGTCGGTGAATACGAGACGCGTGCACCTCGGCATAGGAGAAGGCATACAACCTCTGGGTCGCCACGATGCACAGCCAGCTGTAGAGGACTCGGAGAAGGCGGCGGCGGCGGAGTCAAACTGAGCGCGGCGGCAGACAGGTCGCCACAATAAAAGGGACTGCCGTCACTTTGTGCAGTAGAGGAGCCGGGCTGCAATGGCGCGCCGTCGGACGACAAGAGGCTGCTGTTATTGGCGCTGACGAGCTCACTTGGACTGGGTAGGTTATTTGGCGAGGCACCAGCCTCGAGAAGGAGGTCAATGCTTCCAAGGTGATCATTCAGAATGGCCAAATGAAGAGCAGTAAAGCCGTCTTGCCTGGCCTCATCCAAGAGCCAAGGGGTCGTCTGAGCCTGACGCAGCAATAGGCAAAGTATACTGCCAAACATAGAAACAACATAAAAGGGCATAAAATAAAATAACGGCAAAATTGAGGGTAGAATAGAAGAACAAAGGAGCAGAACAGCAAAAGATAGGACAAAGAAGGACAAACTGTGAAAAGCGAGTGGCAACATGCGAAATCTATCCAATTAAAAGATTGAATAGCCGGCAAGCCATAAAAGCTGATTAATTAGTTGTGCTGAGACTAAGTAAAAAGGCAATACTTTTGCTTTCAGAACCCACTCCAGGGCACGGACCATTAGACAGTCTCTGGGTCTGCATGCATGAGGCGAATAGTCAGGCAAAAAAGAGAATTAGTCCCATCCCGTGAACAATAAAAGTAAACAAGACCCATTCTAACATTATTCCCTCCGGTAAAAGCAGTTTGGAAGCTGGCAAAAATAAGATTATTCGACCTGCTGCCAAATCGTCGTTCTTAATCTTACCTTTCTAAGGTGAGATCGTTGAGAGAGATAAAAGTATGAGTTGTAAAGCTGATTTACTTTTTGAAAAGAATCATGGTAGCTAAAGCGCTCTCAGAAAGCTGCCCGAACAGTGGCATAAGTAATGCTAAGCCTGGCAGAATTAGAAAAGTCCGAGATGGAGGCAAAATTTCACTTCCAGACCAAAGTGACTTCAGCTAGGATGATTAATATGAAGGCAGAACTAATATTAGCAATAGGCAAGTGATCAATACATTTGCATATAATTAAGCAATGTTATAATATTACGTGCACTTGTGTATGAATAGCTTTCTATCTTTATACATACATGCAGCTCTTAAAAAGTATTTGGCCTATTTAGCTAATGGGCTGTGGCAGATACACGGATAAATAGAAGAGTAGGCATTTCAAGATGTTAAACTATGGTTCGATTACAAAAATGGGTAGGTGAACGGCTGATTAGAGAAGATTTCGAAGGTCATAGCAAACTCAGAGCTATTTGGTTTGCCTGACCTAGAAGGGAACTATAACTTTGCTTGGGAAAACAAAACAAACACTCTTTTCAGCCTATACTTTATTTACACAATATGAAGCCTGTATAAGCCACCTAATTTACGTGAGCAATAAAAAATGCCGAACTTGAAACAAATGAAGAAGTCGAAAAATTTCCTATTCAAGATGAGGATTCAAAGCTTCTGTTTCCTCAGCTTAATTGTCCACATCACAATTAATTAAAGGATGGAAGCGCTTTAGACTTTGAAATAATCATAAAAGCATTTTCCTTTTGGACTACAACGTCAAACGTGATGAGATATTACTTAATAGCTCTCTATATCTGTCAGGAATTCAAGCCACCACAGCCTTTTATGTAGAAGACTCCATTACCCACGCCCCATATGTAGAATAAAAAACAATAAGAAATTGAGCAAAGAAGGGCAAATAATTTATGATAATTGTGAGAATTTTGATTGAAAGTAAGAATAAGGCAAGCTTTGTCAAGAGTATGCCTTAGTGGAGGCGCTCCAAAACTGCAGCAAGCGCCCAGCTGAGAGTACATGCAAGGGAGTGTTGCCGTGAAAAAAATTTCAGAAAAATAGATAGTTTGAGAAAACTTTAGCCCCAACAACCAATAGTGCAATTAAACTTTATCAAATTACCTGCCATACATGAGTAACCGAATATATTTAGAGATACGTCATCATGGGCTTATGGTGGCGTAATTGCGCCCGTATGTAAAGGGAGTAATGAATAAACGCTCAATAACAATCTCAAGTTAGCCTATCTTTTTAAACTTGCTAAAGTCAATTATTATGACTAAAATATTATGTACAAAAGGAAAGACATCAAATATGACTTTAATGCTATGGCTGAATGGAACCGACTATCTCCTGTCATATATACCTGACAGTTAAGAGCAACAATTATACCATAATTGAGTATCTTGAGCAAAATTGACGAAGTCCAAAGTTTCGAAATTAAAAGCCAAAGGATTTTTTTGCCCCGAAACATCATATTTTAATCTATGCGAAGAAAAGTTGGGCTTAGAGG